GTAACTGTGTGTTCATTTACATACACTAGATGTCATCTGTATTGGAATAGTAACCATTTTGAGAGAAAATTAGATCACAGACCTGATCTTTGTGCCAGTTTTATTGCCTTTAGCCCACATCTTCATCCAGATAACTCCAAGTTAACAAAATGAAAAGCATTAAAAAATTAAAAAAGAAAAAAAAAAGAAGTTTGTATTCTTTCAGCTGGTGAAGAGAAATTATTACAGGAGCCTGAAACCTGCCAATTCTGAAACCTTGTAAGAATTAATAGAAGGTGCAATCAGTACTACCTAGGAACTGGAGATAACACTTCCTTCTGAAAGCTGACTTTAGTGCAATACAGTGTTTTGGTGCTCTTCTCTGTAGACATTGCACTGAAGATAGATTTTAGTCATTCACTGTTATGAACATATCACAGAAGTGATTTTCCATATGTTTTACTAAACAAATTTCTATCTGAATGCAGCCTGATGCAAATTAAGCAAATTATAAATTTAAACAAGCAAAATGTAGAAAACCATGAATTACATTTGTCTCTCCTTACAATATAATGTTAATATCTGTGTAAGTATTAAGAGAAAGATTTGTTATTATTGCTTACACCTGTATTTGCTTTCATTCTCTAATGAAACTAAATCTCATTTAGTATAAAAATTACAATTAGTTTTGTACCAGCCAATGAGAATTAATCCTTTTCTAAGAAAAATCACATAGCATGGGACTAAAATTGGCTGAAGTCAGAGGTCAGTCTGTGGAAATTACCACAAAAGGAGATTTACTTTAGAGCTGGTTTGGGCTTTTTTCAGTGCTCTGCATGTAAGTGCATAAATCTGCAGATGTGAAGATGGGACTGCTCAAGTGGGGTCTAAAGGCATGGCTTAAAAGTTCCCCATCAGTAACCTGCATTAATTCTGTACTGCTGAACCATGTGGACAGAGATTGAGAGCTGCCTTGTTATTGTATCCAGCAGCAAAGTGTCCAGAAATTGAAGTGTTTCTAAATTAATACGACATTACAGATGTTAGAAATGAAGATGGGACAAAAATATTTCTCTGTTCTTGGTAGGAAAGGCAACACAAGAATCTCACAGCCATAACACAGATAGCAAACAGTGTTTATGAAAAAATTTTCAAGATGCAGGTATGTAAATCCAAGGGCTTAAAATGATGAAAGAATGTTCTTTAAAATATCACTGTAGATCAAAATTTCCTCTAGTCCTTAAAGTTAGTAAGCAGCATTCATTTGGCTTGAGTAGAAGATACTGAAGAAGATAAATCAGTTGGTCATTACTAACCTAACAAATGTTTATCAAATTAAAGATGATGTCTTAGGGTTCCTCTCCTTTTCCTCTGTGTGCATATTTAATGCATCAGATGGTTAATGCAGTCATAATAAACTAGTGGGAATATTTAATTAAATGTGTTCCCAGGACATTAAATGCAGAGTATTATCCTTTGGCTGGTGATCAGAGTAAATATTTGGTAATAAGGGAGAGTCCTTGTAGAATATTGTTGGTACTACATGAAAAGCACATTTGAGAACAGAGCTGTGTTCAAAGCAGAACTTTCTTCCCAAAATGAAGATATCTCGAATGCTAATTCATTTATACCTGGGGTTTTGTTCTACCACCAATTCACTATCACTCATTACACAGTTATTGCAGATAGCATGAGGAATAATTTGAAACTTAGTAGTCCTGGAATGGAATTAGTCTAAGTTTGTAGCTATTTACTTGTCAATAGTCACATTTTTACTGAATACTGAAGGGCTCAGATAGAAAAAAAGGACAATGAAGAGCAAATTTCTGTTCATCCATTGATGCTTCCCTTGGAAGTGAAGGGAGCCTCTTTGCTCTTGTTGGGGGCTAATTCTAGAGATCTCAGAGGGCTGAAAATATCTTTCTGTAGTCTGGAAATCCCTGCAGCCACAGTCTGCAGATGGCCACTAGCCCAGCAGTGATATTCCTCTGTCAGTCAGCTGTTACCTCCCCAGCCTAACCAGTTTTATGATATGGCTTTCTTTACTCCCATTGAGCAGCTTTTTTTGGTTCCCCTGCAGAAGTGAGATGAGTAGAATGAAAACAAGGATAAACCTAGCTTATTAAAATAGGCTGGTTAGTAACTGGGGTGGGGGGAAAGATGAGCTAGAAATCTGGAATACAGTTAGTGGGCAGCTGAGCTGAAAAGCAAATTACCCCACTGAGAGCATCTCAGAAGTGGGAGGTGATGGTCTCCAGCCAGAGCTGTTTTTTGGAGAGCCCTCTCACCCTGCAGGCAGAGAACATCATTACCTGCTTGTAAGAGGAACGAGAACCTGAAGAACACTTAATTTTATGGGGGTGCTACAAGTGTCTCTGCCCCTTTAGTGACAGAATTCGTGTGTGGTTTTCAAAGAGTAACAGGACCTGCCATTTTTGACACTATCCCATTTCACTCTGGGAAAACAAGCAAAAACAAATTGGTGGCAAGTGCTGGGGTGGATAATTAATGTCTCTTTTCTGGACACAAGGAGAAACATGACTGTCCTCCCACAACTGTGGTGGGCCCATGCTGTTGTTAAGTTTGTTCAGCTCAGGACTTGAGTCTGAAGGCTCAGAATCTTAAAATCTTAAGGACTTTATATATCAATCCTTTGAGAGGTGACACCTTGTGGCATTTACATTCTCTGAAAAAATTCCTTCGCCCAGGGTTTTTCTCTTGGGAAGCTGAAAAGCAGTGAGAGGCTTCAGAGAAAAGGAGAACAATTCTTATCTCATTTGCTTCTCCTGTGCTGTGCTCATGTGGAATGTGTTTGGAGATTGTTTACCCACAGGTGGTTGTTCCATTGGATTCTGCTGTGAGTTGTTTTCACTCTGTGGCCAGTCAGGGCCAGGCTGTGTCAGGGCTCTGGAGAGAGTCACGAGTTTCATTATTATATTTTTAGCCATCTGTAAGTATCTTTTCTATTCTCTTTAGTATAGTATAGTATTCTTTAATATAATATAGCATAATAAAGTAATAAATTAGCCTTCTGAGAACATGGAGTCAGATGCATCATTCCTGCCTTCACTGGGCTCTCTGGTTGCAGTAACACCTGAATAGAGGAGCACAGAATTTGAGTCTGCTCTGTTTCTCAGACTGGGTTTTGTTAGGGTTGTGCCGAACCTCACATGGCCCCTCTGATTGGTAAAAAACCTTTTCCAGCTAGGCTTGGCTAAACTGAGCTCATGCAGAAATAAAATCCCATGTGGGATTAACACATCAGATTGCCACAAAACTGGAAACCTGCAAATTCCTCCAGGATGCAGAAATCTCCAGGCACAGTCAGTACAAGTCCCTCCCTGCAAACTATCAGTGGAAAAATTGGTTTAGCTGTTACTGTGTGGGAATAAACAAGGCAAGCCCAAAACTAACAGCAAACCCCCAGGGCTACTGAGCTCCTTTATTCCCTTAGAGACCCTCGTGCCTCAAAGCTTCCCAGTGCATCCCAATTCCCAGATGAACATTCCCTGCACCAGGGACAATGTGAGATGGGTTTGTTTCTGCAGCTGCTCCTTGGGCCAGAATCTTCACTGACATGCACTAAAATAGTGTATAAATGTGCATTTGTAGCTAATTTTAATAATTGTTTTAGAGTTAAATCTCAAGAGTACAAAGCTATGGCAGAGTTCTGATTTACTTTGCAGTTAAACAAAGGGGTGTTTGTGGTGTATTTTCCAAATGCCTTTGAAAACACAGACTGTCAGACTGCTCCCACAGCAAAGCCCAGATGGGCGGGTGCCTTTTGAAGGGGTCCACGTGGAAAAAGTGTCTTAAATATGTGTAAGTTACAGCAGTAAATATGTACTACACAAATATCATACCTGAACAGTAAAAAACAAAAACAAAACAAAACAAAAATTAAAAGGGAAAAAGGGAAGAGAGGCAGTGCAATTTTGTTTTATTTGAACAACAGGGAAAGGGTTTGAGGAAAGAGGACTCAGACTGGGGTTCTTCAAAAATTCCTTTCATTTTTGGTAGGGATCATGAATCAGATCTGCTGCAATGATGCACACTCCCTGCCCCTCCCCTGAGCTCTGCCAGCTGACACCCCCTGAAGCTGTCTGAGGTGATTCTCACTTCCCATGTGCACAGCTTCAGCTGTGTCTCTCGCTGTTTAAATAGAAAATAACTCCTGCTGCTAGAAATAGGTTGTGAGCTCTGACTGGAGTCAGAGTTGGGCAGGAGCAGGAGGAGGACAGTGAAGAGCTGGGCTGCTCTGCCCCAGCCTTTCTGTGCCGTGGAGAAGCCCCTTCATCCCGCTGTACCTGTTCCCAGCCATGTGTGGGATAACAGCTTCCCTTAGCTTGGAGTAGTGTTGTGAGGATAAAGCCTTTGAAGGGATTAGGTCCTGTAGTTGGAGGCTTTGAAAAGCACTTTGTAAAAGTAAAGAAGATGCTGAAAGTAAAAGAAGATGCTGAAAGCAGCCTTGGAGGTCCTCACGTCAACCGTACCAAGGCACAGTGGTGGCCTGGCATCCTCCTGGTATTTGCCTCTCCCTTCCCTAGCCTGACTAAGGGAAAAAATTCTGCTGTGTAGCTCACACATATGAACAAAAATGAAAGTGTGTGTCAGATGGTTTCCCAAAATATTAGACACACAATCATACTTAGTGCTTTTTCAGCCAGTGCTGAAATGCAAAACAGTAACACTGGATATCTCCAATTCTCTTTCAGTTAAGAGTTGCAGCTGCCTTTGACTGTCAGATCTAAACTGGAAGTTGCTTCCAAAACATCTCAGTGAGATGACAAATCTCTCAGTCGTGAATTTGACCCACCAGTTTCAGGCCCAACTGGGAGAGCTGAGGATGTCTGAGTCAGCTGAGACCATTTTGCTGAATCACTCAGAAAGTCCCCGGACCTTTCTTCCAAGGTGGCTGCAAACACAGAGCCTGCAGTGCTTTCGGTCTGCTGGGCTGCTTCTGTGCTGCCTGATCCAAATCTGCCTGGTGCTCTGATGGCACAGGGTGGCTGCCATTTCAGAGTATTTGCTAGGGATTTGTACCATTTTTCACCAACAATAACAGAATTTTGTTCCTCTTTCAAAATTAATTTGACTTGTTCTTGGGAATGGCAGTTCTCAGCACCAATGGCGACTTTTTTTCTTTTCCTAAAAAAAAGTACACAAGTCTGATGGCTAGGGGTCTAATGATGGAGCTTTTATATGGATTTTGCGTTCTTTGTAGTTCCCCAAAATCATGCCAGACCATGAGAAATTATATTTTAAAGTTGTGATGCTTCATGTATTTCAAAAGGAAGCTTCTACAACATAGAGCTAATATTTTTGCATAAATTTCTTTGAATAACACTTCTGAGAAATTATAAGCTGATAAGACATGGTACAGAGGCAATAATAGAAGAATTATGTAAACACAGGAAGAATGATGTAAATGTAGGCTGGACTTCAATTCCAGAATTTTTGCTCTGTGATATCGCAGAGAATGTCTGTGCTTTCAAGTGATGCAGGCCTGCAGCTCCCTTCTTTACCAGAAAGCTTGGATTAGATTTTAGGTCATTAATTAAGTATGCTAATTATGAGCTTGCTGTGCCTGAGTATAAAGATTGTCACCTCTCTTTGGTGGTTGCAGTAACTCCTGCTGGATGTCAGGGCAAGTGTAAAAACACCCATCCTTCCCATCATGTCCTGCCTTGTGCAGGGAGCAGAGAAGCCCCAGAAAATGCAGCTGAAACCAAATTAGATGGCAGCAAGAATGCTGGAAGAGAACAACCTTGAAAGTGTCTACTGTATGTCAAGTCATTTTAAGGACAGGTTGGGAGCTGCAGAAAGAAGATGAGAATTACCAGGCAGAAAAGGTGCATGGCAGAGCTCCAAATCTGGAGTTATCTCGTAGCTCTGACCAAGAACTTCACTGAATTTATGAGCTCTGCTTATAGCAAAACATGTGGCAGGGGAAAACTCTTCTCACATACTCCTCTTCTGTAGTCTCTGGGATTCCAACAGTGCATAACTCAAGAGAGGAGCTCTCCTGATGTTTGTAGTAGTGACATAGTGTTTCCACAGGAAAAAAAAATCTGGTTTTGTTGATTGGGAAAATGCCTGTTTACTTCCTTAACTGCAAAGAAGTTTTACAATTTTAATTTTAGCTCTGTTGTTGTACCAGGATCTCCTTTGAGGCTGTTGATGCCCCAGGGAGATCTTGTTTTGAGTTGTGTGTGATGTACATTATAGTCAGATTCTGATCCTTTGTGACGACTCAGAATAAATCCTGTTGGGATGCTGGCCCGTGGCCATCGATGGAGTGCTTCCTTGGCAGGTGGCAGCAGCCTCTGTTTTTAGTGTCTGTAGTAGTGGCCTTGAGGTCCTCAAAGGACGAGCAAGTAGGATGGTTCAATTTCTGCTCTTTCAGCTCAGGCTTGCTAATGACATTGCCACCCCCAGCTGAAGAGTGAGGTGTGAGCCACAGCAGTGCTGCAGGTCCGGGAGCTTCTGGGGGCCAGTGCTGTCCACAGGGACCTCAGCCCTCAGGCAAAGCTGTCAAACTGAAGTTTGCAGCTGAAGGCACCTTTGGGGAGCTAACTTCAGTGCCCCCAGGCATTTTGACAGTGTATTAATGAGGCCATAATTCCAGCAGCATTAATCAGAGCCCAGGATGTAGAGGGGAATGATTCACAGAGAAACACTGTGTTCTCTCCGTCTGTCACTGTGGGAAGGCATTGGTAATGCATGAGTGGGATTTGTGATATTTTTCAGTTCACATGCTCAGGGATTTCCTCTGCAGCTTGAGGAAGGTTTTGTTTCCCTGTGGGGAGCAGTGAGAGGGGTCCCTTGGAAGAGTAGGTTTCACAGGGTAGAGAGTGGGTGTGAGGGATGACTGGCTGAGGCTCAGGGACCCTGCTCAGGCTGGTGGGGATGATTTGCCTGCAGAAACTCTCACTCTGAGGCAGAGCAGGTCTGCTGTTGGGTTTTCAGGACGCTCTGTCTTGCGCTTTGTTCCAGAGCAGGCTGGAGAAAGGCAGTGCTGAAGGTGAGGAGCTGCTGTGCAGCAGGTCAGGGCTCTGCTCACAGCAGTGCTGCCAGGACTCCTGCAGGGGCTGTGGATGTGCTGCAGCTGCCCTGGTGGGGCTTCGGGGACCAGGACTGCAGAGGGGCAGCTTTGCTGGTGCCAGAGATGACTGACCCCTTGCTGTGTGCAGTTCTCACCCCCACTTCCTCCTCTGTTTCGTTCTCCTCTCTCCTGTTTGTGATGGATGTGATCTCCTCCTGCTTCTGATTGTTTCTTTCTTTCTCTTTGCTTCGTGAGGTGCAAACACGAGGAGCAGGGCAGTGCTTCACTCAGCACACTGAGGGGGTCACAGTCCATCTCCTTTATTATCTATCTTGTATAATGAGATATATAATACATAATATAATAGTACTATATATTATATATCTCAGTAACACACAGTACGCAGAGCACAGTGGGTTTCCTTGGTGGGACATAAGTTCTACCCTGCTAGTCAGGCCTGTGATCAGTTTGGCCTTGGCCTAACTTAGGGTAGATAATCTGAATTGTTTGCCATTTAAAAATGCAGCAAGGGAGGTGGAAGAGTTTGATAAAGTCCAATCAATAAATAGTGTAAAAACTGATTGTGGTATGAGAAGGAATGTTGTGAGCAGTAGAATTGTAGAAAATTTTCAAAACTTGACAGAAGGCTCACATAGCATGCCTCTGTATACAAACCTTGAGATAAGAAATGCTGACTTAGAAATGCCATAGAATAGGACAGAAATTGTTGAAAGAGAAATGGAACTAGAAACAAGTTTCAAAGGATGGCCTTACAAAAAAGACTGGATACTTTGGAGAAATAGAACTATGAAAGATGCATTGTAGTGGGACCCATGAGGGGTAATTTTAAATTATTGGCTTTAAGGCATCTACAGCATGGTGTGGCTAGAAGCTGACAGGCCAAGAAAGGCTTGTAGTGTTTTGTAATTTAAAAATAGTTGGCTTCTGATTGTGGTGGCATGAATTGTAACATCTATATTGTCTCACCCTTCCCATGAGACTGAAAATGGAATAAAAGTGTTTAAAATCCCTCTCAGTTGCCTCATCTCTGGGTCGGAAAATAGTATTGTCTGACAGAATGGAACAGTAAGGTTGTGATCCAGGAATGGAAAACAGGGATTGAAACAATGGAAAAGGTCTTTGAAGAAGAAGAAGGTACTTTGAAACTTCAAAAGTTCTTTGAAGAGAAGGGTGCTTTTCACGAGTTCCAGAAAAGGGGTCGTGAACAAGTCAAGATGGTTTGGTCACTCGGGTTCTCTGTTCTGCCCTAGGTCTGTTCCAGCGTCTGCCCAGGGTCCCACAGGGGCTGCAGGGGCTGCAGGGCCCCCCCCTGCCACCAACGTGTCCAGCAACAAGCGGCTGCAGCAGACACAAGCCCAGGTGGACGAGGTGAGTGCTCAGCACAAGGTGCCGCTCTGCTTGGTTCCCCCTTGTGCAGCTCCTGCTCATCTGAAGGCTCTGGGTCCAGGACATGGCATTTATCAGAGGAGGCAGACAGTGAAGAGAGATCCTGCATATAAACATCCCTGCACCAGGAACAGCTCCGCAGATTAAATGTGGGCATTGCTGCCAGTTCAGGAATTCCTCCCAGCCAGCCTGCTTAGGAGGAGATGTCATAGTGGAAGCAGCCCTTTAGTGCGTTCGGCACTCCTAAAGGTTAGATGCTAATTTCTCAGACTGCTTCACAGAGACAGAAGACTGTCAGCTTCTCCCAGATAGATTAAAACCAGCGGAACTGAGCCACAGAGGGCGGCGTTCATTAGCAAGAGCTCTATTGATTAATCATCCCAATTTATTCCCAAAGAAAGGCACCCACACATGATGTCATAGCAGCATCTTTAACAAATCCCCACTCTTTTCTTGATCTTGGGGGACCATGTGCCTGTTTCAGCTTGGCTTCTTAAATTCTTGTACTGCCAGGGTCCCTGCAGCTGCTCTGGGAATGGGAATAGTGGGCACGCCACTGCCCTGGGTGTACCAGGAGGACAGCAAGCAGCACCTGTGGCATCCTCACACACCTGCTCTGTGCATTTGTGTGCTGGCTACTGAGGAAAGAATATCGTAAACCCCTCCAAAGGCTGAAGCAACTCATTGCTTACTGTCTGTGCTGAAGTGCACAGAGCTTGTGTGATTCTTAAATGCCAATTTGATAAAATACACATTAGAAAAATATGTACTTCCATGCCTAAAGGCCTCTATTTTCAAAAGCTTTGGGCATGCTTTAAAGACAGTAGAGAAGACCTCAAAATAACCAACAGAAATGCATTTCTTAAGATGAGTTAAATGCACCTGTCAAAATGGGCTTTGTCTTTTTGAGAAGCTTTTCTTTATTGAAAATCGGGAACAGTGACCTTCTGTTCTTCCCATTGTTGGTGCTCAGATGTGTTCACAACATCCTCTGGCTGCAGAAATGTCTAGACTAGGTTCTATCTTTATTTCCTCTTCCAGTGGGGAAGAAATGTTACATTTTAACTTTTGTCTTTGGTCAGAATAATGAAATAAACTTCTTGTCCTGAACATGTTACATCATGAAGGTCCTGTAATTGTTTATGTGAATGGCAGCAAAAGTAGCTGTCCCTAAAAAATGACAAAAATTGCCTTTTATTATCTTAAAATGAGTGATGCCTGTCAGATACATAGGGCTCTTCAAGTAGATCAGTAGAGATGGCATCAGTGAGGGTAGTGAACCCCTGCTTTGTGTTTAAGATACTCTGTATTCTGACTCTGTTCACTCAGACCCATGAAAATCCATGGGTCATGATGCCATGATGGTTTTTTTTAATTTTTCTTTTTATATACGTTTATATGTTCTTAATACCCTTAACATGTATATTTGTAATTTTTTTAACTTAGCATCTTAACATAATCCTGGTGTTTTGCTAGGCCAGAAGGCCAAACATCTTAAAAGCCTTACAGCTGGGGACTGGAAAGCCTCATGCTATCTCAAGATACCAAGGGCCCCTCTGAAACATATCTTATAAACAAAAATTAAGCCCCTCTGAGGGGGAATACTTTAGAATAGGGAGATGTCAGGCCATTCATTTAAGCCTCTCATTGAGGCATCTTTGTTAGATATGCTAATTTGCAAGGTCTATACATTTATATGCATGATCTGCTGTGTGTGTGCATTTTGGCACATTGCACCTTGATGAATTGTTGTACTGATGCCTTGGAGGGGCTACCTGGAACAGAGGCCAGACAGCATTCAGAGAATAAAGTGTAACATCCAATAGTTACACCTTGGGCAGTCACAGCCTCCCAGAGGCTGCACCCAAGGTGGACAATGGGCACCAGTTTTTCAGACAATTTTAAGTTTGATCCACTTACATATCAAGGGTTAATCCTCCAATTACAGCTTCAGGTAATGAAGTCATTTATCCCCAATTCACTTTTGTTTGTACTTTTTGGGGCCTGAGGCAGTGAGGTGTCCTTGAGTTTCAGGCCTGGAGAGGAATTGCTGTGTCTGAATAGAAGGGAGAGCAGCAGCTGACAGGCTGTGGAGTTGGAGTTGTGCGCTAACGCAGTACAGGATCTGAAAAACAGAAAAGCTAAAATCCTGAGGCACCACTACCACAAAGATACTCATTAAACACCGCAGTAAAACGCCTTTTATCGCTCACGCGTGGCTCTCCCCGAGCCGTGCCCGGCCCTGTCCCGGCTCCCGGCTGGTTTCTCCGGGCGCGGCCCGCAGGGGGCAGCAGAGCCCGGCCGCGCGGGGCTGGGCCCGGCCGCTGCTCTGCGCCTGCGCCGCTGCCCGCGCGCGCTCCGGCCGCTCTGTGGGGCCGCCGCTCTGTGGGACCGCCCCTCTGTGGGGCCGCCCCTGTGTGGGGCCGCTCCTCTGTGGGGCCGCTCCTCTGTGGGGCCGGCCTTCTGTGGGGCCGCCGCTCTGTGGGGCCGCCCCGGTTCCTGCGGACGCCGTCGGCCTTGTTTTGTAAGGCCCCGGCAGACATAGATCTGTTCGACAAAAATGAAATCTCGCCTGGGCAAGTGCTCGCTGCGGGCAGGTTAGATTCAGTAAGTAGTTCTGGGGAAACAAACACGAAACAAAAAACCAAAACTAATCTTTAAAAAAACAAATATCAAACAAATAAAAAAACCCCAGCGAAACTAAAAAAAACCCACCCCCCCCCAAAAAAAAAAAAAAAAAACAAAAAAACAAAAACAAGCTAAAAAAACCAAACCAAAACAACCCAAAACCCCCCAGAAACACGCACAAAAAAAACAACTAAAAACCAACCAACCAATGAAAATGAAACAAACAAAAAAACCCCAAAAAACAAGCAAACAAGCTCACAAACAAACAAAAAACTCTGAGCAAAACCCCAAAAAAACTAAGAGAATGGGTAGGAAAATAATATTTGGTTTCAGCATTTTCAAATAGTTTATCATTTTCACTACAAATCATTGTAGCAAGATAAAATTCGGCCAATTACTCGCTGAGAAATTAATAATTAAAAAAAATTAGCATTGTTTTATATGAAGTTAAGTGCTTGGAAGTTTTTTGGTTTGGAAAAGAAAGTAAGAAAATTTGGATTGACCTAAATGTTTCATTTTCGTTTAGGTTTGGTAGACAAGTGAAACAAATCTTTTGAGCCCTTCTGCCAATTAGTACCTTCTACTAATTGGTAGTTAAAGATTCTTTCACTACCAATTTCCTCTCGCTGGATTTGAATAATGTATCCTTTAAATAATTCTGGATTTTTGCAGGTAATAGTTAAATTTTATTAAATAGGTATAACATAGAATTATAGAGTAGGAGAATTAACAGACCATCAGCCTCATTTGCTGCTAGAAAAATTGGACACAACTTTACAGAGATCGTGACACTGTCTGACATTTGCGTTAGTGGTGACTTTCTGCAGGATTCCCACTTAGTTATTGGCTTGCTAGAAGAGGAATTTCACCTTGGACAATGTACAAAATAAATGCATGAACAGCCCCTGCCTGTTGTGTCCTGGCTGTGCAATGAGCCTGAGCTCTCTGCTGCTCTTTGGGCTGAATTTGCTCAGGTGAAACGTTCTCCTCCTCCACTCCCAAGCAGGACTTCAGGTCATGGCTGAGATGTCATCTTGTCCAAGTGATCTGCAGAATGAGGAAACGCTTTGGTAAGGAAATGCATACAGTTCCCTTTAGAGTGGCCTTTATCTGTCTGCTTTCTCTGCTTCAGGTAAGGAAGGTATTAAATGTGGAAGGAAAATAATGGCTTGTTCTTAGTGATGTCAAATTGTGCTGTAGAGATCTTCATCAGGTTTTTGTATCTGTATAAAAGAAATCAAAAACTGTAATGAAACTGACTGTGGTGTTTCATGAGGTCTCTTTATTTTCTGCCTTGAAGGGCATCCAGCAGTGTGTAGCTCACTGAGGCGTTTCCACAGCTGGGGTTTGGAGGCAGTGCCCAGGGAATGCCATCACACACCACATGGCAAAAGGCTGGGTGTCACTGTCACTGCTTTTAATGAGGGGACTATTCTGGGGCTGAGAACGATTTATTGCTCAGATAAACATCAGTCTTAGAGGCTGGCAGATTTTAGAGGAGCAAGTATACAGCCATAGCTCAAAGTGGTCACAAGTTCTTCATTACAAAGCAATATAGAACTTTCTGATCCAATGGACAGTTGCCATAAAGTTTATTTTGCTTTTCTAACCTATCACCTTTACTTAATTTTGCTGCACTGTGGTTACTTTTACCCATGGGGGTCTGTCTCACATGCACACAAATGCTTCTATTATAACCTCTAAACTCTTAGCTGCTCTATACAACCACACCCCTACACTGTAAATCCTTCACCGTCTTATCAAATGCAGTTTCTCACTTACTTAAGGCATATTCTTACTTACAACTGTAAAAACATAAATTTATTATTTTCCTGCCTAATGTCTGTGCACTTCATTTTCACATCAATCCAAGCTTCTCCTAGGACTGCAGATCAAACCCTCCTGTGTCTGTGGCAGTCTCAGTTTTTCTCATTCCCACAGCTGGGTTTAGGATGAGGTGTGACACTCCAGGGTGTGACCAGATGGACCCCTCAGCTTTGCTGTGGGAGGGGTCTCAGGTGTGTCTGTGCCTTCACAGGTGGTGGACATCATGAGGATGAACGTGGACAAGGTGCTGGAAAGGGACCAGAAGCTGTCTGAGCTCGACAACCGGGCAGATGCGTTGCAAGCAGGTGCCTCACAGTTTGAGACCAGTGCAGCCAAGCTGAAGAGGAAATACTGGTGGAAAAATTGCAAGGTAAGGAATATAAATCCTTGTTCGGAATCACTTCGTGGCAGGAATTGCTTTCACTTGCATTTAGTGGGACTTTGCCTGCAGGATGGCACCTCTGAGTCATCTCTTCTCGTCAAGGTGAGAAAGAGGTGCCTTGACCTCGAGGCTCCAGAAGTCAAGCAACTTTGATCTTTACCAGAACCCATAATTTCTGCAGTATATAAAACGTAGATACAATTTCTGATGCTTCCCCAGTGCCTTCAGATAGGGATGGGAAAGCATTCCATGTCAATTCGTGTCAGTTCTCTGTAGGAACTACAAAACCTGATCAGATGCAGTGAATTCTAGCAGTGGGGGAAGAGAAGCTTTTTCCTTGTGGGAATCATTGATTTGATTTTTCTTCAGGATGGTAAACCATAAAAAATACCCAAAACTGGGTTCTGCAAACTGCTGTGAGAAGGGAGAAAATGACAGTCTCTTATGAAGAGGGGCTGGTTAGGACAGAGCAGGACTCTGATCAATCAGCTGCGTTCTCTGCTGTCTCCAAAGTCTAATCCTTTCCCAAGAGCAGAGTGAACCTCACTACTTTGCTTTTTCAGACCTTCTCCAGCATTTGTGGATTTTGGACCCAAAAACTTCATCTCCTCTTACTCTTCTAAGACTCGTGTCTTTGCTTCTTCCTGCTCATGCACCACCACCATGTGCCAAAAGTTCAGCTTCATTTCCATTTCTCAACACCAACTTTCCTGCTGACCACTAATGTCCACCCAAATAAAACCAGTGGCTCCCAAGGGGGAACTCCACATGTATCCCTCACTAGCCTCTTGTCTGCTTTGTCTCTTCAATCCACAGTGCTATGAAATGTAAAGCAAGACACAATATTCTGGGTAAACTACATGTAAAAACACTCCAGAAATAAAAGGATCGACATCAGAAATTCAGCTGAGCAGGTCCTCTGGACCTCTTTTAGCTGTTGCTCAACTGATATGTCTAGAAGTGCAGGAAGCAGGGCTTTTGGGAGCTACAAGCACAGATTTTGAGCTAGGTTCACCCATGTGACTGCAGTCACCACAGTGACCTGCACTACCTAGGCCTTCAAACCTGCCCTCACTCTCCTTTCCTCATCATCCCTTCCTGCTTTCTCCTGGCAAACAATCCCCCTGTCCTTCCTCTGGCTCCCAACTCTGCAAAGAGAGGGAAGAAATTAAAAAATAATCTCCTGCAAACCAATGGCTGGCTCTGTCCTTGTGTTAGGAGGAATGAAGGCCTTGATTTGACATGCCCACGTTTGTGGTTTTTCATTCTTTCTGCTCACTGGGGTAATAATGGCAACTGGACTGCAGCCTCCCTGGAGGGCTCATCAGCTTCCAGGGAGTCTCAGGGGGCTCTGAGGCAGCTCCCTGCTGCTGTGGGCTGTGCACAGCTGCCTCTGCCTGGGGGAGCAGCCTCCTCCTTTGCACTGAGCTGTTTCCAGGAGAACCTGCTGGCGATTGTCCTGGCGACTGTCCTGGTGACTGTCCTGGCTAACTTGGGCTTCCTATCTCACCAGCAGCAGCACAAACAGCTGCTGGGCTTTGGCAGCTCCAGCTGCCTCCTCACTGACTTCAGAACGTGGGGAGAAGGGATGAGGTGACTCTGGTGTAAAGTGGTACCTGGCCACGTGTGAACCCAGCCACGGGAGCTGTTTTACTTTGGAAATTGGTTTTTCTTTGCTGCTGGGAATGGTTGAGGTTGGTGACAAACTGGCCAGCTTTAACAAGAGGCTCTGTCCATTGTTGATTTGAAAACTAGCAATAAATCTGGGGCCTTAGCAAGTCTGTCGCAGTAAGTCTTTACAAGAGTTAAAAGTGTGAGGAATGAGTCACTAAGTAAAAGCAAAAAAATTGAGGGGTTAATGTCTCTCACATGAAAACCTGACTTTCTCTTTCTTTCTTATATCTTCTCTTTTTACAGATGATGATCATCCTCGGTGTAGTATGTGCAGTCATTCTCATTATAATTATAAGTGAGTAATTAATTTTCTCTTTTATTTATGATCTCAATAGCTTGTGACTGAAGAATGGCTGATACATTAAAAAACAAAGCAACAAAAAATGGATATAAAATATTTAAACTGATTAATTTGTGAAATTTCCCTTCTAGTGATATGCTTTTATAGCGAGCATTACTGCAAACTCCCTGGACACATATTGGCAGAATTTGTTGACATTTAATGTTTTTAACATTAGCATGTTACATAACTTTCCCTAGGATTAAAAGCTCTCCCTTTTTATGTTTTAAATAAATTTTTATGCAGTCTCAGAGATCTTCCTTTCAGTATGATGACTGCCACAGTCCCAGTGTTTTCTACTAAGAACAGTAATTCCTGAAATACCTCATGCCTATAAAAAGAGGGTGAAGGCACACAGGCAAACAGGCATCTGATGAATTTTTTAAAAGTGTGTAGGTGCCTGGTTTCTACCATATCAGCTAGATTTTGAGATGTCAGTGTTTCTGAAGATCATTTTGCACCTCAAATGCCCAAATGTTGTTAAAAGATGGCCCAAAGTCTCACTGACTTCTTTTCTCAAAAGATCATCTCGTTCCACTCAGTTGTTGTGGGAAGTTAGCTATGAATGAATAATAGCAGTCGTGCTGGTTGGGACTCAGGGACCTTGTAATGACAGGAACTGAACATTTCATTTATGTAACCCTGTGTTAGCAACAGCTGTTAGGTGACATAACTGTAATATGGCATTAACTCCTGAAAGGGAGATTTCTTCAGATACACAAAGCAGGTAGTAACCCAGAAGAGATTCACCAGAAGGCCAGACTGTGGATGTGAGCTAATTCCCAGCTCTCAAGTTACATGCCTGACACTCAGCATGTTTCCATTTTCCTCTGTTGCTCCTGTAAAGAAAGCTTGCAGGATCACCTGTAAACATGACTAAAAGGAATGAGATACATGTGACAGTTTATTAGCCTTATGAATGCTGGCACCAGAGTGACCCAGAATAATTCCAGGGTTTCATAACACTGATACAGCAAGAATGGGAAATGGTTAGATATTAATTTAACTATATTAACTGAGTACTCAAGAGAAAGACCAGGCCTTGTGCAGCAACCAGACAAAAGAAGATGTGCAGCCACAGAACTAATTGCTGGGTGTTCCTCAGTGAGCATTATGTGAGTTTTAAGAAAGTAAACAGTGATCAAGATAGCTCATATCTCCTCCATGGAAGTTTAGGCTGAAACATATATAAGTAAGAACATTGTTTCACTCCTGGTTTAAAATGCTGAAGGTCTGTTCTGCTAAATTAAAAAAAAAAAAAAAAAAAAAATAATAAAAAGCCAGTGCAGGTTTGACATGGGTTAAGTTGAGTTTAGGGTATTTAATCACAAACATGAGTGTCACATTTTTCAACCCAGGCCGCGGCTCACCACAGTGAGATCCAGTACCAGGTCAGTGAGATTTGAGTGTACTGTTGTTCAAATTATTTTCCCAGTCTATTTGATTCCTCTGTGATAAGTGCCTAAAGGTTGCAGCTTCAGGAAGGACCTTGTATATTTAATTCAATGCTGTTTATTTACAGTAGCTTTCAAGTATATGTTTAAATGCCATAGACATCAAGCATCCAAGAGCTGTTAGACAAGGCCTGCATGGATTTTCCAGTCTGATTTGAGTGGGAACCAGGCCATGCCCTCCACGGGGCTGGCTGTGGGTGCAGACAAACTGAGCCATCCCTCACAGCAGCCAGCGGCCGTGGGTGCTGCCTGCAGGAGGATGCAGTACAGCACACGGCTTTGCTGGGGCTGGGGACAGCAGCTAACGTCACTGTCAGTGCCTGCCCTTTCTGCCTTCTGCGCCACAGTCTCCCCTGCTTTCTACTCCAGTTTCCCCTCCAAATTCCCTTGGACACAGGAGGAGCATGCCCGTGTCTGCCAGGAAGGAATACTGTGTGCCAGACACATCACGCTCCTTTAGCTAAGATGGGCTAAGGATGTTTGCAGTCCTCTGACACCACACACTGCTGTGAGATAAAGCACAACAGAAACTGTAATAACTCCTGGGTTTGTCTTTTTTTTTTTAATCTTTCTTTCCTTCTGCTTCATTTCCCAGTTTATTTCTCCACTTGAAAAAGCAGAGAAGGAAGACTTGGCACACCTTTGTTCATATCAACCGATGATATCAGTGTTCCTTTGTTGAACTCCGCTTTTTAATTCCCGGTGTCTTGGGATTTTTGCTTGTAATAACCCATAAGCATTCAGTGTGGTGTATTTTGGAATTCTGTTGTTTCCACAAGAAACTGTACCAGCTAAATACTGCCAAGTAGTTCCATACACTGTCTAATCACTGTGTCTTAAGATGTGTACGCACTGACCTTCAGAAACTGTAGTATATGAAAAGCATCCTAAAACATCTCAGAACCAGAGAACGCAGCTGTGGGGAAGCTCCTGTTTAAAGGGACACTGCCAGGTGGATTGGACCCAAATCTAAGGTTGCAGCAAACATTAGGACCAAAATTCTCAATCTGAGCTCCTAAAGTTGGATGGCAAAATCCATTTTCAGATGTATCTGTTACTCCCATTGAAGAGAGTGATACCTCTAAGTATTTATGTAAGATATCATATTTCAGTTTAGCCAACCAAACACAGATTTCTTTGAGGTTAGATGTAGAATCCAAGTCTAAAAACATTGTCCACAGAAAATTCAGACTGGTTTATCATCTTTTATGGATTTCATCTTTTTCCTTATGGAAAAAACCTCTTGGTGTTCTGAACAACCAAGATGGCCTCAATATGAAAGCCAGAAAGGAAAAAAAAACCTGTGTGACAGCCAAAAAGCATTAGCTAGCACAGTCCTGAAAGAGCCAAGTGAAAAGCAGAAGTGGTGATGCAAGCATCACAATGACTCAGGTACAGTCTGTCGCTGAAAACTTGAGGCACTTTTTGTCAGGTTTCATGGGACACCTCTTGGATGCCAATTCCCGATAATTAGGCCCTGACCTGAAGCCTGTGAGCAGCGTTGGTGATGTCCGTGGCTGCCCAGCTCTGTGGAGGGAGCTGCCTCTGCAGCAGTTTGCAAAAATGGTCCCCACTGCCAGGATGGTTCAAAAATCAGGAAGAAGGCAGGGGGGAACAGTGGGGAGAGAGGCTGAGAAAGGGAAGGGTGCCTAGCAAAGCTTTCCTGGAGAAGAGGAAAGAACAGAAACACTGTTCAAAGTAGTGGTGTTAATAGGCTTTAAAAAGATATATTTTAATTTGTGCGTGTGGATAGTTCATAGACTATAGTGTAATCTTTGTAAAGTGCTCATCTGAGATACCTATTATACTCAATTAATTTAAACCAACATTTGATGTAATTAAAAGAAATTATATATTGTGGCTTGAGAGAAAGTTCTTTATGCTTTTGTGAATTTGTTGTTTTTCTTTTTAAAACAGTGAATAGTTTAATCATCCTTAACCAAACTAAAAATGAATGAATCAAATTTTGAGCCAGGAAATTCAGAAAAGGGTCTTTTCAGGATAACTCCTTCAGAATTTCTGAAAAGAATTCACAGAATTAAAAAAAAGTAGTTTGATGGGTTGGGGTTTTTTGTCTGCAATTTAATTAGGGAATTGAAACAGTGACAATAGTAGTGTAAATATTCCCACTGTGGAGTATTTGTCTTGCATGGTTTTAGAGTAAAAAAATTGAGAGCCTGACCAGTTTGTTGCTGTGAATCTATATATAAATTGTGCTGAAGTAGAATTTTGCAGAGAGAAAAAGTAATGATCAATTAAAAGGTTCCAGTTGCATTTTTTCCCTGAATATTTATCACTTTATAGTTACCTGTACTACTTCATATCATTAAGTCATAAGTGGCCCCAGCCTTTATGAAGCTGAATACTCAAAGTTACTGATGTGATCCTGGACTCCCTGGTATGCCCTGATCACTTCAGTCCTTCACTGGGTGAGAACACAAACAATTCAGAAATCCGCCTGGGCTAGACAAAAATATAGCAGGGATGAAAGGCCTGACTCTGTGAGGTGACACAGCTGTGTATAAATGAGCTTTCACTGGGAGAGAAATGAGCCATCCAACTTCAGGAGCCTTTTTAAACTGCTAAGGTAACTGGATATCTGATATGAAGGAATTACCTGCTGAGAGTGGGACCTGCCACCCATACCCGTGCTGGGTGTGGTGTCCTCTCAGGGCTTCTCTGCTGAACACACTCATGAGATGAAGACAGCTTTTGCTGGAGGTGGTGCAATCAGGAAGGTGAAATGCTGATACTGAGCCTTAATACACATGTTCCTTCTCCTCTGGGAGGCTGAACTGATACTCAGCTGATAGGAGTGCAAATGCACATTAAAGAGTTTGAATCCTCTAGCTACAAACACACAAAGCTCCCACATGAAACTGCAGTGGAAGTGCTACAAGGATGCAAAGCTCACATCCTCCCAGCTAATGTAGTTCAAGCACGTTAATAATCAAAATCAAATCTCATCTTTAGGTGAGAGTGGAGAACAGAAATTGCTCTTTGTGGAATGTGGATCCATTCTCTCTCAAAATTGTAACTAATGGGGATGACTGCTAAATATAAGTGAGAATTTGCGAGGAAGAGTTAAGAAATCTGCCTTCTAGTGGGTTGTAGAATGTTTCCTCCTGACTATTTCTTCCTGTGTGGTGATGAAATGTGGTAAATTAATGTGTTGAACTTTTCAAAGTTATTGGCCCACGGTGTGCTCATGAATGCTCAATGTTTGCTACTGCTTGTGCTGTGGTGGTTGGTAGTAATTGGTGAGATAAGCCATGTAATCTTTCAAATTCTGCCCAGGGAGCATGAACAAATGTGTCTTGCCCTGATGCACAGAGCTCAGCTGCTCTTGCAGAGGGTTAAACCTTCAGCCAGGAGAACACGGTAACGCAGGACTGTTCAGGGTCATAGATTGTGCAACAGCATCTCTCACATCCGTGCAGGCTGCTGCAGAGCACAATCTATAGAAGCACAGTTGGAGCTCTCGTTTGCGTTGGAGCCAGGATTGATTGCCTTCCACTCTACGTTTGAAATGTTCGTGCAGTTACAACCTGTGGATTTTCCATACAATGGTTAAATCATTCTTGTTCAGTCATCACCAATTAGAATTTCAGCTCCTGCTCTGTGCCACTGATACTGCCTGGGCTCTTCCCCTGGGCTGGTAAAACATCACAAAAGGGCTTCCTTTAGTGACCCCTGGCAAGCCCTCAGGGGACTGCAGGGCCATGGCTGACTGCCACCTTGGGGACCAAACTGAGGCCTCTTCTGGCTGGAAGCAATGCTTTTGATAGCTTTATCCAGAATTAGACATTGTTTGAGACATGCATATTCCATCCTTACCAGAAGCTCCTCCTCTGCTTTCTGGAGGCTGTACAGCAGGAGATGCCCTTCACACACAGCACAGCTGAAAGGTAGGGGTTAACAGCTGCTCAATGCCTGTGCCATGGCTGCTGCTTGGCTTCTCAGTGATCTTGTCAGCGATCCTACATCAGCTTCTGAGCTTGGACAAGTGTTGCTTGCACCCACTATCAACAGGCTACTGAGGTCCTGCTTGGGCGTTACACTTTCAAATTAGCTCACGTTGCAGTGACACAGATGTGGCTTTAAACCCAAAAACACAGATGTGGCTTTAAACCCAAAAACACAGATGTGGCTTTAAACCCAAAAACACAGATGTGGCTTTAAACCCAAAACCAGTGTTGCACAGAACTTGGCAGGAAAACTTAGTGTGGAAGCCCTAACGAGGTACTTGACCTGATTTTCACTTGACAGCATTATATAACAGCACAGTCAATCCAAGAGAGTCCAACCTAATCCAATACTATTAGAAGGAGGATGAGTGAATCTGATAAAGATTCTGAATGTAACCTAGGGTCTGTAAGACAAGGGGTGATTTAGAAATGTAATCAGTTGGACTTCTAAAGCTGGCATTTTCATTCAGTTGGAACCTGCAGGATGTTACCCCCAGGAACAATTCAGGCAAGTAAAATATTTGGCTTTTTTTCTTTTTATATAGTCATCTGCAATAAGTGACTTAAACAGTGATGGAAGATCAGGACATTATTGATTGTGCAAGGAATTAATTAGAACAACCTCAATCTGCTATGCTTTTGTCTGGGTAGCAAGACCTTTTAAAATTCCATGGTTTCTGTCACTGCTCCTGTGATAAGGCTTCACCTAACTTTAATTTTATGAGCAGCTGCACTACTTCTTGTCTGAATACAATGGATTTTAGCTCTTAAGACCAAGTTCCTGACTTGACATTGATACTACAGCATACCTGCAAAATGGTGATGTCTGTTTCCCAGAAGGGCATTGACCATGGGAAACTCAAACTTGAGGAACTTTCAGAAGCTTGATCTCAACTCTTTCATGCTTTCACAGAGTGAATTTTCTCTATTCTGTGGGAGATTATCCACATAGAAGGAATATGCATGATCTGGGTTTTTTTTTTTTTTAAGAGAGCACCTTGATTGCATGTTGGTGGGAGACCTTCACAAATAACCTAGGGAGCACTTGGATATGATCCAGGATTTATCTCTCAGCCCTGCTCCTCCTGCCCTTTAAACAAGGAAGGGGCTGAACCAGCAGCCATATAAGGCACTGGGCTCCCTCCCAATGTACACAGTGAGTATTAGAGAAAGGTCTCAAAGTCTCTTTGATCTGGATTTGCATCCTGACCTGAACTTTAGACCCATAACAGATCATAACCTTTGGGCCCTCTGTCTCGTCAGAAGACTGAGATGCTCTTCCAGCCAGTTCTTCCTCACCTGATTTAGGTCCCTGTTGCTGGACAAGATACATTTGAGCCAGAGAAAGCACAAGCATCCTCAAATTAGCTTCTTTAAAAGAAAAATCAAAAGGCTGAAGAAGGTAGTTTGAAAAAAATGAATTGTAGCTAGAGAAATTATTGGCTGAAGATTTCTCAAATGGTAACACTATTGTCAGGAGGGATACTAGATTGGGATGTATGAAACAACCAAACCAGAACCTCACACCTGTTGTTCTTTCTCCATCTGGTCTGCTTCAGAAATACTTCAGGAAAGGATTTGATTTTCCTCTCCAGTTAATTTCCTTTCCTCAGCTGATTAATGTGTGTCTCAATTGATGTGCTCAGTAGTTTTTCTTCTCCATTGAGAACCCTAAGACTCTCTGCCTTTAAACACATGCATACAAAGAGATCTGAGCCACCCAAGGAGTTTACC